TTCCAGTTTGTGTTTCCAGCTCCTTGGCTTAGCCTATCAACATTTAAGGCTAGTTGCTGTTTCATCTCTCTCTCTCTCTATACTCTTTTTCTCTTCAGCCATGATCCTTTTATTTTATTTTCCTTTCACTGCCCAGGTTTTTATTTTCAGCCTATAGCCAATATGCAATATAAACTCCATGGTGTTAATGGGGAGATGGAGTGGAGATACGCCATATGAAAGAGTCTCTCTGTGAATTGCTTTGGCTCTGATGGCATTTAGGTTATGTTTGTATGTACACACGCACACAGGCACACACGCACGCACGCACGCACGCACGCACGCACACACGCGCACACACACACACACAGAATATATGAAGTGTGGTCAAAAAGTATTGGGCTTCAATTTTTTGTGTGTAAACAAATGAAGCTAGAGAGACATGTTTTGGTACATGTAAGTAGACATTCCTAAAGTGCATGGGTAAATTTCTTCCCATCTGCAGAAGCCATCAGTCAATAGCAAACTCCCGATAAGTGTGGATGAGTAAGTGAGTGCCGTCGGATTTCCGTTCTCAACAAACTGACAATCCATCAAACAATCTGCAAGATTCAACGGGCCTTCAGAGACAAAGTAAAAGGAACCACACTGATACAAGAGTGGTACAGCCGCTTCAAAAGTGGCTGCACATCAGTGACATGTTCTTGTCAGCCCTCAACATTCCAAAAAGTGATTGTCATTGATCAACTGAATACCTTGGTGATGCAGGGTCAATTGATCAATCATGTTTTTTATTACCCTCCCCCCAAATTTTGCTGCGATCCTGTTGAGGACTTAGAATCTTTGAATCTGAGATACATACAGACTTACCTGATAACAGGGTCATAAATGTTTATATCATTTTAGCCGTATTTAGATACTTGCCTGACAAAGGTTTGAAACACTTATGAAGTCTTTTGAATCCTCAACTCTGCCAACACTTTCTTCAAATCTGATACTGTATTCCGAGTCATGATACTCTATTGGTTCTGTAAACAATGAGTCCTTCATTATAATTTTGTTAAATTCTATATCATAAGGGCCTTAACTTATGAAAGCAAAATACTGCTTGACAACGTGGTGTGTTGTATATATCTGAAATATATCAAAATCTATATAAACACAAAATGAATTATTAAGCAGTGCCACCCATCACCACTAGACCTAAATCCTAAATAAATAAAATCAACCCATTCGCCCCATGTGGCAAAAATACATGCCATGCCCACTGTAATATATTTTTTGTATGTACACATAGATGGCTCTACAAGTTCTTAATCACCAAATAGCCAGTTTATCAGAACTACCTATTTCACCTGTTTACTCATTTCCTTCACTTTAGGAAAGGGGTTTTTGCAGCATTTCATTGTCTAATATAATTTAATGACAATTTAATAATCATAACATCAATAACAATAATAACAGTATCAATAGCAATGGCATTAATTTTCCCGCCAATTCATTGAATGGGAAAATCAGGATCGGTAACTAGGGCCTACTGATAGATTCCTTGTCGGCTGAGCACATGTGGAGCCATCTGTAGGTAACAAAATTCACCAAAAACTACAGGGGACAGAACATAAATCCGGAGCGAATGGGTTAATATTTCAGTATACTACATTCTTTACTTTTCCATAGTAATAGACTTACCATCTTTTATTTCTAATTTATTTTCAGTATCATCAAAGTCTTCATCGATTTCAGCCTTCACATTGAAGTTCTGCAACAACAATAAAAAGGCTATAAAAATGGAAAAAATAAACACACATATAGATAGACAGATATACATATAGATGTAAACATATATAAATACACACAAACACACACAAATACGCACACACGCACACACGCATGCACACACACACACACACACACACACACACACACACACACACACACACACACACACACACACACACACACACACACACACACACACACATACACATATATTTATATGTATATATTTATATGCATATACATATGTATATATTTGTATATATACATATACACAAAGAATAATTTGGTGTGCGTACTAGTTCCCTGCTAAGACAGTCCTGCACCTATATCCAAAGGCTCCGGTACCTGTATTAGTCTTGGGTGCTCCATAAACGATTCATCCGATATATCTTTTCTGGATAACTCTTCTTTGACCCATATGTTTGATGGCATATCCCCCACCTCGTCATCTTCAAAAGTACGTCCTCTTTCAAGGCATCCAGTAACTGCAAAGTAAGCAAGGTGATGAAAATAACGGTGTTTATTTATCAATAATAATGGTAATACTGATACAATAGCTGTAGTGGTAGTAGTAGTAGTGGTAGTAGTAGTAGTAGTAGTAGTAGTATTAGTAGTAGTAGTAGCAGTAATAAAATTATAATAATAATAATGATAATAATAATAATAATAATAATAATAATAATAATAATAATAATAATAATGATGATGGTGATAATGATGATGGTGATGATGATGATGATGATGATGATAATGATAATGATAATGATAATGATAATGATAATGATGATGATGATGATGATGATGATGATGATGATGATGATGATGATGATGATGGTGATGGTGATGATGATGATAGTGATGATGATAGTGATAGTGATGATGATGATGATGATGATGATAAAGATGAGGATAATTACAGTAATAACAATAATATCATAAATAATAAAACAATATCAACAATAATAATAACAATGGTTGGTCTTTGTAGTTATATGAAGACAGCCTATATCAAGTTGGCAATCTACATATGTAAAATGACAGGATTGCAACACATATTTATGTTTCTGTACAACATCTATAGTGAACAACCTAATACTGAATAATGAATCATATGAATATTTTACAGCTGATAACTAACTTTCCCATCTTGACATCTCACTCAAGAAGTAATAAATGTGTATTGCATATATAGAAGTGAATCATGTCATTTTATTTATATGACTGATCTGACATAAACCACAACACAACTATCCTTACTGTCCTTGAATACAGTACAGCAATGACACATGTTCATATGATCCATATAGGTCTAACACCATTTACCGGATATTTACCCTTTATCTGTACTTTAGTATTGATGAACTACTCAGAATGCAGCACTAATTAAATAACAATAATCATCATGGAAATATAGCTAATAAAGAATGATGGTAATTTTCTAAGCTAATGAATGATTTTAATCATACATCCAGTAACAGTTGGGAGTCAGTGAGTTGCTTTCAATTCATATACATTTACAAGTACTTTAACTTCTTTCGTGAACCAGTTATTTGCAATGAAAAACAACAGCAGCAGATTTACATGCATTACACAGAGAGTAAATAGAACAAAGTATAATAATTACAAGGGTGAATGACTGTGTGAATTTTAATCCCTCCCTAAACTGTGCCCCCAAAAATTAACAAAAATGTACCCAACAGTGAGGAAATTATGGATGAAAGGGAGACACTCTAAATAAACGTAATGCACAAGTTCTAGACCTCTAGCCTACCTGGAAGACCCGAGGCTGTGGTTTGTTTACCTTTGCTGGAGTGCCAACAGCTGTACCAAAACACGAGCCTATCAACTCTAGAAACTTACTAATCTCTAGTCTCCGATCATATTATGAATGAAAATGTCTTGAACTTTTATCAACACATCGATTACACGTGCTGTTAAGCCTTACTCCGAAAAATATTACATATATACTACATAACATACTAAACATACTAAATACTACATACTAAATACTACATACTAAACCTGACAGGACCTTACCAAAGGCACTTGACTCGGGCACATCATCGCCTGCTGTTCTTCTTTTGGACGCTCTAGCTACTCCTGCCTGTGCTTCCTGCAGTACGCGTCTCTTACTCTTCCTTCCCATCCTTATCTCAGATGTTTTCTCGTTTGTTATTATAATAATGAGAGCGTGTGCGGCGTTATTGGGATTTATGATTTATTTGAGGGTTAACTTAGACATTTTCATTGTGCTGAAGAAAACGTTTCGTCATTCTGTCACTTCTGGCCATAACTGTAGGTGATTTACTTGAACAAAGAAGACAGAAAAAAGAAAAGAAAATGGAAGAAATTCTTGAGGATCATAAGAGTGAGATTCCTCTAAAAAAAAAAGGCATAAATAGAAGAAGTTTATGTAATTTTGGTCTATGTTTTGGGGTCTCCACGTGACTTTTGTTATTGGTTGGAACGTTTATGACGTCATGGTTGCGCTCAGCCAATCACAGGCTTTGTTATTGTCGTGTCTTCGAAACCTCCCTTATTACCGCGAAATAAATCTAGAATAACATATACCAAATAACTAATTTCCAGTAAATTTTGAAACGTTTCAACTATCAATCTGATGTCATAAGAGAAGCCCTTTTAACAAAATTCACCATATCGACATTAAAAGCGAAAAAATCCAGTTTGAGGCGGCTGGCGGAGGCTTCGTAGGATCAGTTGTCATGGCATCGAGAAGGCCAAGCGGAGGCAACCTCTGCTGTCTTCCTTTATGCCGATCGAGGAAATATCTGGACTCAAACCTTCATTTTCACCGTTTCCCGTCAAACAGCGAATTGTAAGGGACAAACAGTTGCAATAATTAAAGCGTCCTTGTTGCTGTTACACACCCCCGTTACCATCGTACTTTGGTGTATAACATGACTATTTATCCATTTTCTGGAGTCCTATGGGAAATAATGGATGAAAGGGAGACACTCTATATAAATGCGATTAACCTAAATAAAATATATGGATATATATCGAAATGACAATTATTTCGGAAACCACTGTATGGGTGGCACAAGAGAACTTTATTAGCAGACTTATTTTTTGTAGTTTTTTTTTGACAGTAGATATTCCGTGTATCCTCATTTTGGTAATTTCTCAGAATACCTTTGCATAAACATTCATAATGATTTTGATATGGATGCACTAAGCTAGGGCAAACTGAAGTTGATATTCTTGTAGAGGAAAAAAAAAGTTGCAGTCATTAATATAGAAATGATCTGCAGATATGAACAAAATAACGAAAAAAAATCATGGATAGTGCCACTTACAGCTCAAGTCCACTTGGTGTTCCCAAATTTTAGCTCTTTCTTGCTGTACATACCAAGTGAAGATCAAATTTGCAGGAGCTATCAGGGGGCAGAACCCACCAAATAGGATGAGTAAAATTAGTGTGCTATGATATGTAAAGGCAATATGAGAAAGTAGTGTATTAAAGACCTAAATGCAATCCCATTTTAACTGTCATTTTTTAAAATTTATTTATCTATTTATTTATTTTTTTTACAGATCTGAAACATGGCTGAAGTTTGTCAATAGACCAGATTTGTATAGGAAAACCTGCAAGGAACTCAATAATACATACAAGGTTTGTTCAAGACACTTCGAGCCTGATATGTACATGAGTCCCATATCACCACGCCTGAAACACTCAGCTGTTCCAACCATACCTGGTATGTTTTAAATAAAAAAAGAGACAATTTTTGAATGGTTTAATGAAAACTTGCATTATCCTTTCCAGTAGATGTTTAACAGAGGTGGATAAAAGAAAGTGTATTATTATTATATTTTTTTTTTATAACCAAAGGCTTTTAATGATTTCCAGAGTACATTCACTTATACACATATACCGGTAGAATTCCTTTGAATATTAATTACTTTATCAACATCTCTACAATTAGTGGCATTCCAGAGTGGAAGCCAGAATGCAGTCCTTTGTAGGAGGTAACTATTTTATTGGAAAGTCATTCTTCTGAACAGTACTGAAAATTTGAAAATAATAGTTAAATTGATAATGATAATAAGATATGATTAAAAAACAACAATTTTATTTGCTACCCCTTTAAATTTATGACAGGGTGCTCATGAACTAAAATTATGCTTTATAGATTTTTTTGTGACTGCTAATCTAGCCAGGAATAACATAAAACACTGATACTGTACAAAATGTGACAATCCTAATAACATAATCATGGAAAATGAAGAACAATAATAGTTGTTTTCTCTTCACATTGATATCAACATCAGTGAGTGGCCAGTGATACCTTCCAAGAGGATGATATTTTATCTCATCTTAATTAAAAGGGGACCAGGGACTGAAGTAAAGATGCCTACAACTTTATGCTCTGAAAGTATAAAATGGTATTTAGTTTATGTGAACTCACTCTTAATTCTTGATCCTGGAGATTTAGTGTTGATTTTTTTCAATAGTTGAGCAATATTATCATTTTCAGTTCAGGAAAACATCTCACAAGGTGGGACTTTGTCAGTAGAATCAACTGTGGCAGTTCCTTCTTCTAAGATAGACATCCCAGATGCCATTGCAACAGGTAAATTCCATTGCTTCCTCAAAAGTATATGCAATTGCAAAAGGTAAATTCCATTAACAATTGGAAAACACAAAATAGTGCCATATATACATGATTTTATAGATATAAAAAATCAAGTTATTACTTTACTTGGCAAAGCGTAAAAATAGTGTAACAAATTGAGCTCGGTCAAAAATGATTCAAAATTTTCTAGAGTGTGTTGAAGAGTCTGATGGCCCCCTGCACATTTTTATACCCAGCACTGATTCAGAAAAAGGATCTTCCAGGGACAGCATGGCAGCAGGTAGGTCTTCACTGCACTTGTACTACTGTATAGAGCTATAAAAATAAGGTAAAAAGGAGTTGTTTTTTGTGCATGTGTGTTTGTGTGTTATACACACACAGACACACATGCACAGTCATATACATTCCACACACTCATGCACAATCATACGCAATCTTATACAAGCACACACACACATATATGCACTTGCACACACACATGCACTCGCACACACACACATGCACTCGCGCACACACACATGCACTCGCGCACACACATGCACTCGCACACACACACACACACACACACACACACACACACACACACACACACACACACACACACACACACACACACACACACACACACACACACACACCACACACACACATACACACACACACACACACACACACACACACACACACACACATTATGAGTTTATGCTATTCATGTGTCCTCCCCATTTCCAGAGCCGTTAGATGACTGGGGATATTTTGATGGCGGTGGCGGTAACGATCCATTGGAAGTTACCAGCATATCGTCAGATATACCAAAGGAAGAAGCCAATAGCCATGAAAGTAAGTGTACAAGATCCCTTTTGAATGGTGAAAACACTCTACCGTGTTGATACAATGGAAGAAAAACCCACAATGTAAAACTAGAGATAGCTGTTAATGCATAGTTATCGTTTCTTTATTACTATGTTCTGGATTTCTGAATTATCGATAGCTACATCTTTCAGAACTGCAGATGTTCCTGTCCTGTATTTTTTACTCTAGTGTGTGTGTGTGTGTGTGTGTGTGTGTGTGTGTGTGTGTGTGTGTGTGTGTGAATATGTATATATATATATATATATATATATATATATATATATATATATAGAGAGAGAGAGAGAGAGAGAGAGAGAGAGAGAGAGAGAGAGAGAGAGAGAGAGACACACACACACACACACATACACATACACACATACACACATACACACATACACACATACACATACACACACACACACACACACACACACACACACACACACACACACACACACACACACACACACACACACACACACACACACACACACACACACATACATAC